TGTGTAATTTATGAATTGTTGCAGGGACGTCACAATTTGATGTTAATGTAACGTCTCATATAAGACATCATTGCGGTACAAATACGGTCCCGGGGATATTATTCATACATATAGGGATCGCAATTTGTGATGTTCCGTGTTTCAGTAAAACATTCCAGAAACTTAGTAGGGACAATATTTTGCACAATGGTTAAAGATCACTTTAAAAATGAGTTTTTTTTTCAATTCTTGACTAAGGAATTTATTTTTTAAGTAGAAAATTTAAATAGTTTAAACATTTTTATGACTATTTTAGTTTTTTATTTGATATTGGAAATATTTCTGAAATAAATAAAGAAGATTTGATGAAGTATTGTATGGATCTTTAGATATGACTACAAGTGGGGAAACTAAAAACATAATTGAAAATAATTATACAAGGAATTAGTTATTTTATCAGAAATTACTGTCAAAGGTACTCAGTGCTGCAACTACAAAATAGGAGGCCCGTGTGCGGTAATTATATTGGGCCCCTTCCTAGGATTAATTTTTGTTCAATTTAAGTATCAACTTTTTTAGGTGAAGTATAATATACAACAGTTATAGATATTTAGATTTATGATCTGTAAATTCCATTGGGGGTTTTGCGTTTCGGATATTATTTATTAGTATTTAAATTATTTGTGCTCGATCAATGAGACATTTAAATTTATTTTGTATAATTTAATTTGAGGTATTAATTTTGAATACTGTTAGTCAATATGTTTAATCATATTATACTGTATAATTTCACAGAAAGAAAAAATAAATACTTTCAGTCATGGTTTCAGTATTTGATGAACTACTTTAATAAATCATAAATAGTTAGAGCACGGATACGGAAGTTTTGACGGTGTTATTATTAATACTAAATAAAAAAAAAAAAAAAATAGGTTTAAAAATTTGTATTTATATTTAATGGTTTAGTGATGGTTGCATGATTTTATATTAATTGTACTGCAATTTTAGATTTCGAGCGGTAGACAAGCAAGTAGGTAATAGGTTTTATTGTGATAGATCAGGAAAAATATATTAGAATTGCTCAAAGTAAAATTATTAAACTAGTTTTTTATGAGTGGAGCATATTCCTCTATCACTCGATATTTAATTCAGACAAAGATAAATGCTTTGAAATGAATTGGTTTTATAATAATATATTTTTAGTTAAGTACTTGATTTTTAGTAGCTCTTAATCAAAAGTGTTTAATTATTATTGTTATTATTATTATAAATGGCTTATTATAGGCCATTTAGGTACATTGCTGTTTCCACTATATTTTTCCAAGCTTCCCTATGTGCTACGAGTTCTTCTCCATTTAGTACTCCTAACATAGTGAGGTCTTCTTTAATTCTATTCTATCATCGTTGTTATAGCTTACCCCTGAATAAGCTTTTATTAGGTTTAGATTTCATTACAGTCGATATTTGGCTCTCTGCTTTAATAATTAGTTCTTAATTTTATTAACTAAATTGAAAGTATGACACAACGATGTTGGTGTTAATCTAAAACTTTTTTTTTTTGATACTAATGAAAAACTGTAAAAATCTTCAGAAATATGTTTAATTCCTCCTACCAAGCATATAAATGTATTTTAATAAAATAAATTATTTTGTACTTTTGCTTGTTTTGCAATTTTATCAGGGTTTCAAAATTAAGCAGAATATATTCCAATATTTATTTTACTAATGATCAAATTTTTAGCATACCACAATTATTAACCTTTTTTAAACATACTTAATATATTTACGTTAATTCAGTACTCGTATTTTACACTAAGTTTTACATGTTCGTTATTGGTTTTTGAATGCAATAATTTTCCGTTCCTTTGAAATTTAACTACAACTTTTAATTATTATAATACATATAGATATAAAAAAATTACCCAGATTAGTGTGATTATTGTCTTTTATTTTGCATTTATAATATAAACATTTGGTTCTAGTCTAAAATAGCGAAACAACTAACAGCAAATGTAAAAACCGCGAATTGATAATAGGAAAAATAAAAATATCTAATTTTAAAATAATCAATTATGTATAATAGCGAAATTGCAATTTTTTTATAATTTTTATTTTGAATACTATACATTTTAATATAGTACTTGGATAAGTTTTAAAAATTATAAAACTATACTAACTATATTAACTTATTTTATTAATAATTAGTATTTTTAATAATAAAATAAATATTCTTTAGGAGGAAGTCACCCTACTATATGGAAATTTATTGATGGAATAAAGAAAATTCGAAATTTAGAAGAATTAAAACGAGTACAGTATAATGCTATAGAGAACAAATAGAGAAAACAAAAAAGTACAAGGACTATCCTAAAAGACTTCATTAATTAATTATAAATAATTATTCTAATGATAATAAGAAATTTGTAAAAAGTATAGCATATAATCTAAATATTTTTTCAAAATTATTATCACTAATTGTCTAATCGTATATTTTCGCTGTTTTTATTTTCACCATTATTAATTCGCGATTTTTAGATTCGCAGTTATTGTTTTACTATTTTGGTCGGATACCAAACATTTATATATATTTAACTTGGCATATTCTTCTAGTAATTAGATATTATTTCTATTCACTAATAGAAAAAATAAAAGAGTTTAATAATTAAACTATTATTTAAAAAAAAAAACTAATGTGAAAATTTTTTTTGATATTAAAATAATCCGTCTTTGAGATTTTAGTTTTAATTATTTTCGTACATTAAAAAAACCAAGTGTTAATAAAAAAATATTTTCTCTATTTCTGGTGGTTTTTACAACTTTTTCTTATGTTATGATAATGTACTGAAAAAAATGAACTATACACGGTATGCATTGTAAATTTAAAAATTTACAATAAAAATGGTTATTTTTAGAATTGAATTAAAACTAGTCGCTTTTTATTGGTAAACATTATTTTACTTAAGTTCCTAACAGTAAATATTTATTTGTTCTAAATATATTTATAGTACCTATATTACAACTATTGTAGTTTTTTGTTTCTTACAGATAGGTAATCACATAATTTTTGTATACAAATAAGTTATTATGTGAATTTATTGACGATTAAAAAAAAAAAAAAATAAAAAAATAAAAATAAAAAAAATACGTGAGAAAACAGAGTGTGTTATAATGTCCATAATAATATTATGGACATATGGTTATATTATAACCTATACAAAAAGTTGCCGCGAGAAATTTTTTGGGTAGAATTTAAATTAATTAAAATTTTGTACAGAGTTGGATAAATTGTTATTACATTATAATTATCACACACATTGTGTTTGCGGCCATTTGAAAAAATATGGTAGAGAAAATTCGAGTACGATTAATTTAATATTACGCGATAACAATTAAAAAAAAAAAGAAAAACCCACACGCGTGTCATCTTATTATTATCATTGTTTGAAAACAAAACCAAACGTGTATAGCTGGGTACACCGCTACAGTCCAAACGTCGTTACGTTCACGATAAATCGACTATCAGATGTTATGTATGTGCGTATAATATGCACCATGTCGTTCTCACAATACAAATAGTTGATATAATAATGTGATATTATATTTTTTAAGTACCCCGACGAAAGAACGGCCTCGCCGAGTAAAAGAAAAGCGTTTTTCCTTTCACGCGCGGTCTACTCACCTGCCACCCCGTCGATGCCCGTCCACACGATAGAATAATACGCGTAGTGCGCACTGCGGTCGTCCATAGGAATAATAAACAAATAACAATACTTAATGATATTAGAATTCGCCGTTGTTACGCGTGCCTGGGTGACTTTTGTGTCGCGCTTTTGGATGTAGAGTACTTCTCGTGTACTTTAGTCTAAACAGCCCGTGTTAGTATTGCACATATACATGAGTATTCACATGTGAGGACGGTAAAATAAGACTTTCATGTTTTTCTTCTAGCATTTAATGTTCAAAATTATATTAACGACACTCGTGTAATGAACTCTATCAATTCAATATTTAAAATTCTGTAAAACACACTAATGTAAAAACCTAAAAGGTCCTTAATGCGTTTCTAATATTGATATATATATATATATAAGTTTACGAGATCGACCAACAAATAAATTTAAACACTTACCTATTACGCGGTTGTCGAAATTATTTTATTCTAATTTCTAAACCTTCATCTCCTATTTCTTTATTATTTTAATTTTTCTGAGGAATACATAATTTCTAAGGGTAAAAATTGAAAAATGATGAAAAACGTGAATCAGAACAAGAAGTAGGATTTTATCCTCTTTCCGCAAACATGTGTGTACAGGCGTTCACTGGACGAGTACGAGTGTTGTTCATCTTGTTTTTGTGGCAACTATTTGCATTTGTTCGTTTGCTATTTATATAAATTTACCCTCTAGTGAAAAAAAAAATGTTAACGATACTGTGTTTACAATGTACGTACTAAAATATTACGCGATGAAAATACGTGTTTTGCAACGGTTTTTAAATCGTGGTTCACGGAGCCACAAGAGTAGTCTAGAGGTTCCATAGCACATCAATATTGTTACTCTTACACGGATTGTTTGTTGTACAATATTATTGAGACCGTACAATCTGAAAATAGCTATTGGAGTGCGCCAATAGTGTTAATATTATGTTTATACGTGGACGTGCGCGTGGGTTGCGAGAAAAAAATTGGATCGTCAGTTTACGATTTTTACAACTTGTGGTTTGAAAAAATCAGTATTGCAGGTTTTTAAGGGCTCGGTGAATTTTTTTTTCTACTAACACAAGAGCTTCGTGAACATTGACGATAGAAAAAAAAAAGAATCCGAAAACCATTCGCTCCACCGTTTTGTGATGTACACCCGTGACGTATTAAAATGACGTACGACCGAATACCGCGGTCGCGGTAGTATGCGGTAGGAGTATTGGCGAGTAATGGCCGCGGAAGCGCCTCGTGCCACCACCGCGAGTACCGTCGGCTTCGCCGCCGCCGCCGCCGCCGACGGTCGTTCCGGCAACCGCTGCGGTATCCGCGGTCCACGAGGTGTCCATTCGCGTACTCGTCGGCCCCGTTGCCCGACCATGACCGTTGCTGCTCTCGACGCCTGGACACTGTCGGTCGGTTTCCACGCGCGTGCAATCGTCGTCGTCCGTGCATTATCGTAAGACACTCTTCGAGGCAACGTACGTTATCGCGCGTCCGGATAGTAAAATCGTACGCGACATCGTTCCGACAAACATCGGTAACAACAGCATTAGGCAACACGACGAACGCCAACGGTGCGCGAACATTATTGCGCAGCATTACACTATAAACGATCGCCCGTGATCGCGCGCGAAAACCGTTGTACCGCAAACGGGGCGAACAAAAGACGGGTAACGGATACCGCAGATACGGAAACGCGTTGAGAACGACAACCGATCGCGCTTCGACAACATCAGTTACACGTACGGTGTGCGGGCGTGCGTTTGAACCATATCGTATCGCTGCGGAACGATGGTCGTCTTCAGCGTGTCCAGACTCCAGCAGATCATCAGCTTCGTAGTGAGTATACAATAACGATGTGTTGTCGCGCGTACCCGGTGCACCCCGCGCACATAATTCTGGACGCGCGTAGAGACTAGTTTTGGACGCGAAAATACGCGCCGGACGTGCGCAGGGTACATTGTTACTAACAGGGTTCGGGAATCGCAGGAGTTCCATATTTTTTCGCGTATTCCTGGTTTACAGCAGGTCGAGCTGTACAACGTGTTCAAAAATTGAAAATTAAAAATGTATACCTTACATATTTCTTGATTTTCATACGCATATAATATATATTTAATATTTGATAGAAAAATTAATTTTTTTCTTACTTAACGTATTTTAAATACAATTGAACATAAAATTCAATATTATTTAATGTAGTTGTTTAATATTATTTCTTATTGTCTCGCTACACAATTAATTTAACGATAACGCGTTGCAACGGTGAGATTCGTATTTAAGAACTTATTATAAACTATATTTATTTGTGTCTAGGATATATAGTCAAACGTTATTTTAACGATAAACTGTAATATTTTTTTTCGATTTTCGATAAACACATTTTCCGAAATCGAGCTTTTTTATTAATGGCATAGCATCCGTCATTCATGTAAGAATACAATCATTAGGTCCTTCTATTATGATTGCGTTTTCATAGACGCTTAAAACTCCATTTCTTATTCTGTATAGGAACATTTAAATGTGGTTCACATGTTCCATGTTATTTGCATAAATTATTCGTCTCGCGTTAAGAATAAAATACTTTTGGCCGTAAAAAAAAAAAAATTAAACGTTTATCCAAATCATAATAGATAAAATAACGATTGAGTTATTTTTCTATAATTGTTCGTCTTCAATGTTTGGTTAATCAAAATATAAGTTGCAAAGAATTTACAAAGGCATAGAAAAAAAAATTAAATTAGTATGTAGGTACTTGTTTATATTTTTAGTAGGGTTCAGAAGTTGATGTATTTTGCATTTATTTTTTTATAACTTTTTAGGCAATGCTCTCCTGGATTATGTGTTTGTATACAACGCAAATGTGTTTCATTATTTGTGAATCCGAATAATTAATTTTTATTTTGTATTTTTTGGTGCTTTTTACATTTTTATTAATTTTTTGAAATTTTTGTTCATTTTTACTGATTTCACACTAGTTCACTTCTTACCGTTTTTTGTCGACCATTATGTCGATAACTTAAGACTTGTCCAATTTTATTTTGATTATTACGTTCATCGTTGTCATATTGTAGTGAATATTATTATACCTAAATTTTATTATTTTTTATTATTTTTTAGCCATTGCAATTTAATGAAATCTTATAACGTGTAAAAACAAAAATAATATAATATTTTTAATTTTAAAATAATTGTTGCTTGCTTTGCTACTTGTCTATTAAAATTTAATATTTAAACAAAATATTTAATATTTTATTTTTTTCATCAAATTTAAACATTCCCTACCGGCGCACGGTGTATTGAAAGATTTGTATAATACTATTATATGCCATATTTATAATCTTTTCATACATGATATATAAGTATCCAGTTATTTTTTAGTTATTCTTCGCTTACTATACGATTATTCTATTAATAATATTAATAGAATATTAATATATATGTATTAATATTAATATTTATATATTTATATTAATATTATTATTCTATTAATAATATTTTTATTATTCTATTATTCTATAATTCTATTATTTTATTATTATTATTATTAAGTGTATTCGGTGTGTCTGTTTTGATTACACGCAGGCCTACGTTTAACTTCTAGTTCCTTTGTGGACTATATTGTAGCTTGTACACACCTCACTTTCATTAATTAATTTTAAGCTTCCTCAACATCTTTCATATACCTTAATTTTATTTTATACTTCAAGGGCCGTGGCACCAATCAAAATAAACTGTAAAGTGTTTACATCATTGACCAGAAGAGATCGCCTAGAGTATTTCCTTTAAGAAACGTTTTTGTTATTCGTTGTATTTCCAGTACTATATAATCATTAAAATAACATAAGTGCATGTTATTGATTGGCCATGTATGTGTATACAAACACTATTTACATTTACAAGTATAATGTTCACCGTAAAAAATATTTTATCCGTTTAACGAATAAATAAAAATCCATTTTTTTTTAAAGTGTGTAATAATTATAATATGGGTAAATTTTTAATAACAATGACAATATCTTTTACCGCATCAAAATTGCATTCTAAAATTATAAAATTAAAATAAAATATATCTCAGTCCAAAAAATGTAGACAATAATATAAACGATCCATCGTCTTTTCTCAACTGTTTTCGTTTTCCCTGCTGTGCTATTGTTACATTAAGCTAAAGATAGATCATTTATTAATACCCCTTCTATTGCAATAAATATTGGTATTATAATAATGATATTAATATCATTGAGAAAGTAGTCAATTCATATAATAAACATCTATGAGGTATTTATTTTGTATCAAATCAATATGTAATATGATTTATACATACGCATAATTTGTCCTTTACATCGACGTTTTTTAGTATTCTTATTTTACGCAGTAACACTCACTTGTATTATAGTATTATTATTCTTAATAAAATTATGTTTTTAATAACTTCTGTGATATTTTCCATAATTTTTAATTAAATTTAATGATTTTTATTAAGTTAGAGAGACTATGAAATAGGTTACTTATAAAACTTTAAAGGAGAGAGCATTAGAAATGTTGTCTTAACAACGAATGGGTACACTTGAAAATAGTTTTAACATTAAATCACTGTTTTTTATATTTTTACCTTTGATCACAAAATGTATGAAACAAATGAAAGTATTCAAATTCTTAAATTAAGCGTAATAAAAGTGCTATTTATTCACTAAGTAGTAAAATATTACATTATTGACGAGTGATTATGGGTAAGTTATATATGCTATATTTGTATTTTGATAAACATTTTCCTATAATATTATTATAACTTATAATTTATAAATTATAAGTAATATAATATTTTCACTGTGTATTCGATATTTTAACGCATCAACGAGAATAAATTAAATGTACTATAAGAAGAGATTAACCTCGATAACTTTTACTTGCGACAAAAAGAAAGGAAGTGGAATTTAAAAAAATCATCAATGCATTCATTAAAATTAGGTATATTGTTAAGCATAATAAAGTGAATACATTTAGAAGTGAGGAAATTCGTAAAATATTTTCAGCAGACGAAGTCTTTTTATTTACGTAAACTAATTTTAATAGATATTTACACCCACATGAATGTTTATAGTCCATTGTTAATATTTTCTCTAGACAATTTCTGGTACTCACTATGCATAGATAGAAGTTAATTACTTATTTGTAATTTCACAGAATTGGCGTTGGGTAGAGACAATCGTTTAAAACTTATTCCAACTAGTACAATAATATACATACAATTAGTGAATTAAAAATCACTTGTTACTAATTTTTTAATGGTATTTATTATTTTCAGCGGGGATATAATCTATTTAAATGGTCATAGCTTCCGACAGATAACATTTTACAATTTCATCCGTGTTAAATCCGTGTTAGCCAGCATGAAAAATCCGATAATCGAGTTTTGGTAGAATTTTCACGTTTTTTTTTTTTTTTTTTTTTTATAATTTTGCATTTAATTTTTTCTATGTACAATAACGTATACAAATTTTTCAACGTTCAAGACTGCCTGCAGTCGTATCGGAATAACTTTGCCGGATATGAACTCCAACCGTATATCCCATGATGCATATCAAACACTAAACAGTTTTAAAAACTGAACACGCGCCATATTATTGTACGATTTCGAAAATAATATTTTAGGTGTTGTTTTTTAATAAAAATTTAATTTTTAAGAAATGATTCTGTTTATATTTATAACAACTTAAACTGTCAACGCATATGGTATATACCTATATGAAATTGTCAGGACTTAAAAACATGATTTTATTTTGATTATCATTTTCCTCATGCAGTAGTAGAAATTTACTTTTATTACATTTTATTTATATTAATTTTAAATTATTCGAAAGAATATAATGTTAAATTATTTTTTGGATTCTTACATTTCTTACGTTTCACAAATTTAGGAGCTTAATAGGATATATCATAATGGCATTATCGGCCAATACTATACGTTGATTGCGAAGCAAAGCAATGAGTTTTAGCAGGTTTTATTTCTTTCGAACATTTTTACAGAATATATTCCGACCATATTTTAAATTTCTCACCGGATTTCGAAGAGATTGTTAAAAACAACAATTAACGACGAACCGTAATCAAAAAATGTATTTTTAGTATACTCGTCGTTTTTGAGACCGAGATTGATTTAAAATATCTCAAAAAATCATCGCACTTTGATAATTGAAATCTAGTACGTACACACTTGTTAGATCAGCGAAATCGTAGACGACCATAATTTATAAGTGTTTCGCTTGTTTTTTGTTTTTTGAATTGATTTTTTTCTCAACACCCGTTATCTGATAAAAATTACTGCTTTATACGTTATCGTATTGCCATCATAAACAACTCAGTTCAAACAGCAAACAATTTGCGTACGTAATGAATTTAAACGAATCCGCAAGTGTCTACATGTCATTAGGCCCGTGGGAGTAAATGTACAAATGAACATTATAATGAGACGTTGATGTTACACATTGTACATAATATATACATTATTATCAAACCAGAGTGTTTAAATAATTATGACGTCAAGTTTAACACTATATTTACATTAGATATACGTCTAGTCTTAGAATAATATTTCGTTCAACGAAGAAAAAATAAACGTGGGTGGTACCGACGACTGGCTTTCTCTACTGTTTGGACGCAATTCTTTGGACTTTGAAGGAGAAAAAAGTTACAGAAAAGTTCAAATACGATTGTATTGAGCAAACAACAAAATACTCACAATAATATTTTCGATGTGTCTGAGACGTACAAAACCACAACATTACATTATTATTATGAACCTTTTTTATTGTTCATTTTCTATTCTTCCCGTTTTCTAC